CATCTATATTACTATGGATAGACAGGGATGTCAGTCAATGCTCCAAGAGGACCTTAAGCAATTAGAGAACTGGGAGACCTTGTGGGACATGGAATTCAACCCAAGTAAGTTTCAGGTAATCCATGTAACGACATCCAGATACCCCATTTGTAACAACTATATACTTCATGGTCAGGTATTAGAGACTACCTCATCAGCTCGGTATCTGGGTGTCGATATATCGGATGACCTGAATTGGAGCAAGCACATCAGTCAGTTACAAACAAAGCCAACAGCTCTCTTGGCTTCTTTTACGCAGAATTATACCAACCAGGAACCAGCAGCTTCGGTCAGCAGCATACAAAGCGGTGGTATGTCCACAGCTTGAGTATGTTGCCAGTGTTTGGGACCCTCATTTGGTTACACTTATTAACCAAGTTGAAGCTGTATAGCGCAGAGCTGCAAGGTGGGTGATGTCGGATTTTAGAAGAACATCAAGTGTCTCATATAAGCTACAAACCCAAGGTTGGTGAAGGTTACAACAAAGAAGGGCAGATGCAAGGTTTGTACTTATGTACAAGATCGTACATGGACTAGTAGCCATCCCCTTAGTTCAATTCATCCCCCCAAGTAGGACTACCCGTTCATCTCATTCCCTCACCTTTCGACAGATACAAACTACAAAAAATGTCTATAAATATTCCTTTTTCCCTCTTACAATAGTACAGTGGAACAGACTGCCGGGCAGTGTTGTCTCACTTCCAGATGTTGAACATTTCAAACTGGATATGAGCAAACTGAATCACCCCAGACCTTAATTATATCATATTGTTTTTATATCTTTTAACTGTGAATACTGTTTTACTGTTCCCTTTTCACCGCATTGAAATTTACTTTTCTCTACTTTTTATATCTTTTAATCAGCTGCGCACCCTACTCAGATTACTCAAAATTTGAGGGTGAGTAGTATCATCTATCGAGAGATACATAATAGCTACGTAGGTAGAAGTAGTTTTTGGACTGGACCTGTATAAATGATAACAGGTTCGTTTGCCCCCTCTACCTGTTCATAGGAGTCCGTTCGCCCGAAATGTTTTTCACCCAATATCTTGTTCGCCCTATATATAGTTCGCCCAATACTTATATATATTTTTTACTCATATGAATTTAAAAAAATTTTATATTTTTATTTCCTTTACAAACTTGGGTTATTTTTTCTCATATTCTGTTACAAGGAACAATTTTTATTTAGTCTTAATTAATTTTTGATATTATTCTAATGTATTTTTTAATCGACTTGGTGTTTGCACTATAGTTAATTAGATGATTAATATCAATGTTAATTAGGGGGATACATCCGTGTTGTTTTTATGAATTGGGATATGTTTTGACAACAATTAAGGGACTGAGGGATTAATAGGTCCTTTATAGAACTAAGCAGCGGATCCTGAATGTTTTACCTTTGAAGAATCTCCCTTTGATCTCAAAAAAATGATATATAAGAAGATGGAAGATGAAAATTAAACATTCCACTATCAATCATGGCAGAGGTCAACCCCCCGTGCCTTTCCTGTGGGAGAGAAGTCCGGCCGAGACAACATGCCATCAGCAGTGATGCTTGTGAAGGTTGGCAGCATCGCCTATGCAATACTGGTAAGAATTACATTTATTTTAAAACTATTTTAGATTAGTGAAATTATCAATATTTATATTTTAAAGGAATTAAACAAAATTTATAAACAAAATTTATTAATGTACTAAAAGTCCAAAGCTGCAATTCATTGAATTCAATGAACACTTAATATTTTTCTATTTACATGATATAAAATTAAATAATTCATTAAAGAAATATAAATTTTTCAAGTTGAAGTGCCTTTTTTTACTTAGCATATACATTTCCTTTGGAAACTGTTAAAAGTTAAAGAAATATTTTATACAAGTAAGCAGGGGGTTTATGAACCTTAAAAAAATTGATTTTTGTATTAAAAGTCCAAAGTTGTGCTATATTCATTGAACACTATATATATCTTAAAATGATTGAAAATAAATAATTAATCAAATCCAGCTTTGTGTACAAAAAAAGGAAAAAAATATTAAATTTTATATTATTTACTAATGAAGGATATAATACTTGTATTAATATTTAATTAATTAATTTTTTTCATGAGTTTTCATGTTGAATATTTATTTTTTTTACTCAATTTGACAAAAACCACATGTGATGCAAGTCATACATATATATAGTCAACAAATATTATATAATATGTCAAATTGAGTAAAAAAAAAAAAATAATTCATCAAAAAGTCAAATTTACAAAATTTTTAAGAGTGATTTTGGATGTGAAAAATACTCCAAAAAATACTAATAAAATTTAGAACACTTAAGTTTTGTGGAATTATGTCAACGACAAATTTAAAATCTTTAAAAAGCTTTTGTATATTTATTTCTAAAATAAACGACACCGTCTGTCCTCCATAATTGAAATGCTCTCTTTTTTATTTATTTTTTTTTTCATTGTATGTTTATTGTTATAATTTGCACATGCCTCTCATTTACCTCATATACCACTGATGTTGGTGTTGTATATTATTCAGCATAGTTTTAGTACATCTATATACTTAATCAATTTACACATGGTTCATAAGTTGAGATAATGGCTATCATGTGTAATTTAAATACATATTGTAAAATATGAACAAAAATATAAACATAAATATACATCAAGTATAGTTCATATACAGTTTTAATCCTCTAAATACGCATGTTTTACAACTCAGTTTTTTAAGGTTTTACTAGAAAATATCATAGTTTTAGTTTTTTGTGTACTTACATCTAGCTTCCATTGAACAGGGCATGTTTTTAAATATTTTGTAAAATCATCAATAAAAATATGTACATTTTATTTGAATCAGCATGCGTAATTTTAATTGGAATATAGATAATTAACAAAATAGATAAAACAAAGAGTGATAAGCAATTGTTGTATATGTGTTTTTGAACAAAAAAGATGCAAACTTTAAAATTTTCCAGGGATATCACTGCAACAGTACAACAACGTAAAACATGGTAGGGAGGAGCTTCACTGGTTCTGTGGACCATGTGAGGAGAGGTATTGGCCAGCCGACCCACCAGCTGATGTCGACCCTCCAGTCCAGCCAGCCGACCCACCAGCTGATGTCGACCCTCCAGTCCAGCCAGACAACCCTGTTGATGTCGACCCTCCAGTCCAGCCAGACGACCCCGTTGATGTCGACCCTCCAGTCCAGCCAGACGACCCCGCTGATGTCGACCCTCCAGTCCAGGCTGATGTCAACACTCCAGTCCAGCCAGACGACCCACTCGAGGGATCCTTTGATGTTGGTCATCGGCGGGCATCCATCCACCCAGAACCCATGGACATGTAAGATTCTATTTTCAAATTAGTAATTTTTATTCCATGATATAAATGTTAATGCTAGTAAATGATAAATGTTAGTTCCAAGGTTGAGTCAATTATCCAATTGAAAAAGAGAGATTGTGTGTAAATGGAAAATAAGTTTAAGCTTTATCATATTAAAGAATTATACATTCATCTACAAACAATTATATATGCATAATTTTTTAGGTCCCTGAATGCAGAGCCTGATTTGCCAGATGACATTCTACCCGATGATGGTGTTATCCAATACAAAGTCCTCGAGAAAGGCAGCAAACGTGGTGGTCGGTTGTTGGTTGCCAGCAATGGATTTACTTTTGGAGTAAAGGTATTTAATTGTGAAAATTTTTATAAGTAAATTACATTTGAAGTAAAGGTATTTAACTGTGAAAACTTTTATATGTAAATTATACCAATACTTTATACCATTACTTATGCCATCTCAATGTGTTACTGTCCATCGGTTAACACCGAGATTGAGTGACTTACCATGTGCTGATGACTGAATAGTGACTTGTGTTTGTGAACATGACTTACCATGTTTGTGAACTGTAGATAGTGACTATGTTTGTGAATGTGACTTACCACATTTGTGAACTGTGAATAGTGACTCATGTTTGTGAATGTGACTTACCATGTTTGTGAACTGTGAATAGTTTTTACTAAATTAAAGAAATTGTGAATGAACTGCAACTGCTACAGTGTATCTCTGCTATTAACTGTGTTTGTAGTGAACTGCTATATTAGTGACTCATAATATTGTAGTGCTAAATGTTAACTTTTTTTATAGTAGTGCTTCATAAAAAATTATTTTGTAGGGCTTATTCATATTTATGATGTTCATATTTATGATGAGAAATAAAATAAATGGCATTAAAACTTTATATAGCTTGTTTTTCTTTGCATAATAAAACACCCATAATGAAATGAGGAAAATGAACAGAGAAATGAGTATAGTAATATCGGTAAAAGTATAGTACCTATAGATAAAAGGAAATGATAAAACCTCATGGTATAGAAATGAGTTAATTTTTTTCTAGAAGGCTTGTACTAATGAAACAGCATAGATGAAGGGAAATAATCCATATAAAAATGAGGAAAATGACAGAAATGATAATAGTAGTATTGATAAAAGAATTTACACATAAATAACTTAAAATATATTAATACAAACTCTGAAAATTTATAATATACAAATTATACATACCATTTTGGAATTTCCAAACAGGTCTGTCAGGTCTTGGATAGATCATGTATTTAGTAAGACCATTTGTGACAATATTTGTGACAATATGCATGATCGTCTAACGGTCTGTTTTATTTCAAATGTACCAAAAATGTGGAAAGAAATTAGTTAGATTTTATTCTACTTTAAATTACGGTGAACGGACCCTGTGCGAACAAGTTCTAGGGCGAGTGGACTCTGGGCGAACAAGAAATCAGGAGAACGGGAAATCAGGCGAACAATTTTTAGGGCGAACGAACATGGAACCTGTATAAATAATATGATTGGGCCTGACCGGCTGACGACTTACTTAAGTAAACTTTTCATCCGGTAAAAAGATATAAAATATCTATATTTTAATTTAATGCCAGTATATTTACCTGCCACACAACTCAATGCTGATTTACATATGCAGCTTTCAAAGAAACTCGTCACCAGAACCTCTTCTCTGGTCTTCGGGAACTGTGGTATTCCACCAAGTGGAATGAACTGTGCCCTTCTCATTTTACGATTCCCAATAACATGATCAATAACAAAACTGAAGCTTTCGACATCTTTTGGTGTTAGTTTTGGAATATTTTGCCTGTTTTGATCTGTTCTGATGACACCCGTGCCTTGCAAGGGCGCCGCCATTGCTGATGAAATATTGTGATTTCCAAACCCGAGGCAAAATAGCGAATTCGCAAAAGCATGGAAGGTTATGTATCTATTTAGATGTAATTTATTAATTAAATTTATTGCAAACTTCATAGAATCTGAAAAAAATATGGGCTTAAAATGTTAGCATATGTGTCTATAAATAAAATGATATAACCCAAATTGCAGTTTTCTGTTTATTTTATTTATATGCCATGATATGGAGAGGGTGCACCTTACAAAAATATTAACGTCTTGTGTTTTCGACCTAAATATAGTATCAACACCTAATCAGTATTGGCTATAAATATCCACTGGTTATTCCAAACAATAAAAATACGATTGTCTGTCTTTAAACAAAAAATTGAACAAGTTGCATATTTTGGTTGCAATTAAGAAATAAGGTATCATTTTTAGGGGTGCAAGATGTTTCGGGACCGCGATGTTTCGGGACCTAGGTAATACGACGATTCGGGACTAGCGATAAGACGGTTCGGGACTTGCGGCAAGACGTTTCGGGACTTGGGTTAAATTTTTCGGGATTTCAATAAATACTGAAATAAATAACATATTTAGCTAAAATTATTTATTTTTTTTATTAATGTATCATTAGATAAATATATGGACAGACATTTTAACTTTATAATATAATTTTTTTATAATTTAATCGCCATAGATACGTTTTCTCTTTATTAAAAAGAAAATGTTTATTGTTTATTTTACCTTTTAACAAAAATAAAGACATTAAATTTGTTTTTTTTAAGAAACATACAAACATACAGTATATATTTATACACATTATAACAATAAATAACAATTAAGATAATAATTTTAATTAATTCCGTATCTAGTAGCGTCCTACATTTAGCTTAAAACAACAGTGTGTGCTTGGGTCATAATTGTTATAACAACAGAGGATCAAACACCCATATCCCGATTGTTTATTCGGGGTGTTAATTAGGAGAAAGATAATGAAGAGATCCCCTCCAAGAAGAAGGTCTCATTCCTCATTGAGACACCAAGAGAAGACCAAAGATGTCAGGTTAGTAATTAATTAGACAATTTTAGGTACCTAAAATAAGAAATGTTTCAAGTTTTATGTTTTAAAATGCTGATTTTATTTTAATTTGAGAATCCTACATGTAGCACTATTATCACTGATTATATGTTGTATTGTGCATTATTCATATTATTACATACTATATTTTGTTACAATGTACATGTAAAATGCATTTATAGAACTTTACTTTAAACATATTTTATTGAGTAATTCAATAAGGATTGGGCAACAGACAAGGCCTATGTACACCCTCTCCTTGTATAATAGATCAAGATACAATAGTAGGTAATAATACATGTACATGATAATCAATATATTAAGATTACAATGAAAAATAAAGATTCACCATCTAGTATTATTTATCAATATTATATTTCTAAAAAGATGACAACCCGTCCCCCTAACTGTATGTATACATATTATTAACATACTGCTCAATCTTAAAGATAATACAATTATTTGGGGGGAAAATTAGGCATTTAATAGAGTATTTAAATCATAACCAGTGTCCCTAATTTAGTCTCTTGGAAGATTTAATCAATTCTTGTACATGTAAAAATATTCTGCAATTTGTTTGATAAGAGTATAAACAATTTCCTCTTAGAAGAGTGTCGAGTTCAAATACAACATCAATATCATTTAATTTTTTTACCAATAAGTTTCTTTCAACATTATGATGGGCAGTTTATAAAATAATGTGATATAATAGTAGTATTCAGCTTATTCTTAGTAAATGTTTATATATACTTCATCAATTTACAATGGTTTATAATTGCTAACATGTAAAATAAAAAAAATAATATTTTAAAGAAGTACCACGTGTACCATAATGCAAAAAGCCAGTGAATATATACATTTACAAAAAATATAGTAATATTCCAAAATATATATTTACTGAAAAGATACTATACATGCCATTAAGTTAAACAAAATATATACAAAATTGACAAAATTACAAATATAATAGCAATATTAAATTAATACTGAATTAATAATTAATTAATTAGGATAAGGTTATATAAAAATAGTTTTATTTTAATTTTGTTGTTCATTGTAATGTATGAAGAGTAGATTATCAACTGGTACATATTTAGTATGAATTCAGAGAGAGAGAGAGAGAGAGAGAAATTTAACAAATGATTAGGAAATAATAATAATTATATAAAATATAAGTTGTTGACCCAGTGTACGAAGAATTCCCTATAATAATATCATAATAATCTAAAATTCCATTGAAAACCTCTTCGAGTTTCTTATGAAGGTATGTAAATGATTAATAAATGAAAAAAAAATTATCAGTTTTCAATTCTATTACCATAATTGTATAATTTATATTTATTTTTCTGGATAGGAATGGTAAAGTTTAAGTTTTTAAAAGTTTGTAATGTAGGGTAGTTTCTAGAATGCCTATTACTTCTCCTCAAATAAATTCTATTTTTTTACCACAAGTAAAAATGTTTATTTTATTTTTTAATTATGCTAATTTATTTATATTCATATTTCAGAGAGCATACAACGAGAAGGGGGGTGTTCACCGCTTCGTTCGTCAGGTGATGGCCCTTCCCTTCCTTCCTCCTGAACACATTGAGCCCATGTTCCACCAACTGGACCAACGCATTCGCACCGACATCATGGACTCCTTCATGGCGTATGTTTGGAGACAGTGGTTCAGGAACGTGACATTCCCCGTGAAGAACTGGAGTGTGTTCATGTCTTCAGTGCGGACGAACAACGACCTCGAGGGCTGGCACAACCGCCTGAACTCCAGGATGAACAGTCGTGGTCCAGTCCCATTCTACCTCCTACTACAAGAACTCTACAAGGAAGCATCTGCCATTCCAATGCAGGCCAGGCTCCTGACAGAGGGGAAGATGGAAAGACTTCACCGTAAACGTGCAACCCAGTTGAATGGTAGACTGTTCACCTTGTGGGAGGAATACAACGAGAAGGAAATCAGCACCACCCAGTTATTGCGGAGGTGTTCCGAGTTGTACGGACCAGTGGACCATTAAAATGTGGAGTGTTGTGTTGATTGACTGACTGTGGAAATCATCAGAAAATGTGTTGTGTTGTGTTGTGGTGATTGACTGACTGGGGAAACCTTTGTTGTTAATTGTTTAATTCATATTTTTATGTTATCAACATGTGTTGTATTCATGTGGTAAATTATAAAATTCAATGACTTTCACTTGCAGGTACCAAAGAGGAAAGATCCAATGAAGCCAAAATATCTTCATCATAAAGTAAATATAGCTCTGCATCCATTTCTTTTCTTACTAGGCCTACATCAAAGTCACCATATGCATTTGCTATTGCAGAAGATCCAGTTTAGTTGCAGACGGTATTTATATTAAAACATCAGAATGGTATGTTAAATGTTTTATAGCTTTTATTAATTGATGAAATTCTTGTCTCTTTACAAAATAAACTCTATTTAAATCATTTCAGACTTGTTTTTATTTTTATTCTTTGTTTGATGATGTTGCGTAAGCAAGAAATCAGGCGAAAGTTGTGCCATTGACCCAAATACTTCTGAAGCGGTGAATTGTATTCATACGCAAGAACGTTTGATCATGTGACCGACTTCATGTCATGGAAAATTGAATATCATTTCTTTAGTATATGTCATATAAGTACGGCGCCGCTGGAGGGCCAGGTAAAAAAATATTTTTATTTGTTCGGACAAATTAGAAATTCGTTCGGACGAATTAGTTATTTGTTCGGACGAATTAGATATTCGTTCGGACAAATTAGAAATTCGTTCGGACAAATTAGAAATTCGTTCGGACGAATTAGTTATTTGTTCGGACGAATTAGATATTCGTTCGGACAAATTAGATATTCGTTCGGACAAATTAGAAATTCGTTCGGACGAATTAGTTATTTGTTCGGACGAATTAGATATTCGTTCGGACGAATTAGTTATTTGTTCGGACGAATTAGATATTCGTTCGGACAAATTAGAAATTCGTTCGGACGAATTAGAAATTTGTTCGGAAAAATAAGTTATTTGTTCGGACAACTTAGATATTTGTTCGGGCAAATTAGATGTTTGCACAAATTATCCTGTAAAGAGAGATATACACTTTGTCTATTCAGGAGGATTCATCCTTTTTTAATGCATAAATAGCTCTTTGGACCATGATATACACACGTAGCAACTAGAAATGTGATATTAAAGTCGGGTATGTTGATTGTAAATATTCGGAAATAATGGATCTATACCGGTATAATATATTATAGGCCTAAAGTCTGCCATTCTGAAAGTATATTTTCTGAGAGCCCACTAGTAAATTCAAAGGGTCAGTTACTTCTTATCAAACATATTTTCACTCCCATCCCTGACTAACACTGGGGTGCCAGTGGTCAGTTACCGCTTCTTTGAAAAGATGAGATCCACTCCTTAAGGTTTTACTCCTACTGCAGGCAATTGGTACGGGAAAAAATTGGCATTGAAAAAGTAAGCCCCCCCCCACCCCACGAAATAGGACTGTCAACTTTGGGCAACTCTTCCTGAGTCACCCCCTTTTTTTTTGCTTGTCAACTTTTCAGGTAGCTATTTATTTCTCAGGCCCCCCCCCCTTTCAAAAACGATGCTACGTGGCTGTTTTGTATTATGTTGAATAAACTTCGGACTCAAAATATCGAGCCTCTTATTCGAGGGTCTTAATTTTTTTAAGGTGGGGCTTACTAGCTAGGACATTTGTAGATTTGCTTCTATACCGCTGTTCCCACATTTAAGTATTTTGTGATAAAGGAACAAAAAGAGGGAATCTCATAAGTCCATCTCCAATAGATTCTTTCTAAGATCGTTAAAAACTATTATTATGTATCTATATAAATTTTATTTTATATTTAAATATCAGAAAAGCGCATGAATTAAAACATGCAGGTATAATATTGACCAAATTAAACACACGCCCCTCTCCGGGAAAAGGATTAAAAAATAGATGAATACATGTACGTTCCTAGAAAGTGCAGTAAAATTTAAAAACACATCATAATTTAATGCAAGTTAAGGTTCTCAATGATTAAGACAATCGATCGTTTTTTTAAATAGAGGAGGGCGGGGTTGTTACTTGAAAATATTTTGACATTCATTCATGATTTATTTTCCCCGTAAAAGGGGTTGCTTTCATAATTTCCCTTTCTATGTGAGTCATTGGCCTATCAAACCTTCGAACTGGTACTCAACTGTAAAAGCGTATAAACAAAATTAAGAAATGCTGACAGTGAAATTAAATAGTTTGTTCCACTACATGTACCTCTCCAAAAACGGGAGGGGGCTATAATTATGCTCTGAAAATCAATGGACTAGGGAATACTGTATACAGGAAATTTTCGCCCCCGTTTTATTTTCGCCCCTTTCGCCCTAGCCTCATTCGGGCGAATTTAAAACGGGACGAATTCATATAATACAGTATAAGTACTTAAACAAAACTTTGGCAGGGCTAATTTAAAACGGGGCAAAATTGTTCGCAAGCGTGAAAGGGCGAAAATAACCCTGTATACAGTATACCAGATTGATCGGTTGACCTCGTTATTCACCGGCTCGCGAGTCATATGAACAACCTGGGATCAATACGAACAGGTTCATTTTTGTGAAGTTTTCTAAATTCACAAACAGGAATATTTAATTAAAAACTCAATGAGGACCTTTTAATCATTTTATACACCGCATATGTACCAGATTGATTGACTGAATGTTTTACGCCGAATCGGCAATATTTCAGCTACAAATCGGCGACATATGTATCAGAAATGTATTTCAAAAATCATTCACATGTCATGATTAATAACTGCACGGTAGTGAATATGTACATAAAAAAATCATAAGAAAGAGATCAACATTAAAACGACTTATCTTCAAAATATTTATTGATAATGTTGTTCATTAAAGTTATTTTGCAAAGAATCAAAATAAAATGAAATGTTTTTGTGCAAACCGCACATTATTCGCGGTGTCCTGATAGTTGTTCACAATTTCTCTAATTTGTCCGAACAAATAACTAATTCGTCCGAACGAATTTCTAATTTGTCCGTATAAATAACTAATTTGTCCGAACAAATTTCTAATTCGTCCGAACGAATTTCTAATTTGTCCGAACGAATATCTAATTCGTCCGAACAAATAACTAATTCGTCCGAACGAATTTCTAATTCGTCCGTACAAATAACTTATTTGTCCGAACGAATTTCTAATTTGTCCGAACAAATACTGTAACTTATTTGTCCGAACAAATTTCTAATTCGTCCGAACGAATTTCTAATTTGTCCGAACGAATATCTAATTCGTCCGAACGAATTTTTAATTTGTCCGAACAAATAAAAATATTTTTTTACCTGGCCCTCCAGCGGCGCCGTATATAAGGAAAGACATTAGCAAATGTAAATATATACATTTATTCGTTGGTTGAACCCATCTGTCAGTAGCTGTGCATTTCCTTAAAAAAATCAATGAAATTACGTTGCATTTTTCAGTGAAAATCTGTAAGAAAATGCCCATATTTAAGGAAGAAAAAAAATTTGTTTGATCCACCCATTCGTTTCAATATTCATGCGTCTCTTTGACAGAGATCTTAATTTTCTTTCGGAAAAATGTCACCAAAAAATCTTTTTTGTAATTAACCGATTACGGCTTTGATTAATCAACAGATAAAATGTGCATTAGAAAAAAGACTACAATTTCTGACATTGGACTAAAACCATCGGGGGAATTCATTTGAATTAATTATTTTGGGTATTTTCACTACAGTTGTGCTTCAAAGACATTTTTCCAAGTGTAGCAAGCGAAAATAATGCTGTACTGCGCGGTATCTGCACGGGAAGCAGATTGGGAAAAATAGGTCGAAAGTACAATACGGTCGAAAATAGGATACGAGACGATACAAAGCTGTTATATTTTGCGCAGGGGTGACTGTATATATCTGTAACCAAAAGGTGTTCATTTGAAAATTTCCTTATTTTCAGAGAAGGAGGCTGAGACTAATCATTTCATTCATTCATATAGTGTTTTTGAATTTATATTTGTGAATATTGGCAAAATTTTGTATGTACAATGCACGGGATTGTTGTTGCTATTCTATGTTCGGTTTCAGGATCAGGACATCGTCGCAAACCACGGCCAAAATGTGCGATCCTCTCCCATTCTGATCGGGTAGGAGAGAGCTATGTGCGGACTCCGAACCGTGACTTGTGACGATGCACATGGATTAGAATAGTGTATTTTGTGTAAAATATGTGTTTTTCTAGGTGGATCTGCACACTCAGTGGAATACAAATTAAAAAAAAATCACTGAAAATAGCACGTTTAATTTAAAAAATCATATTATCATATTACTATATATAAATTGAATTTTTATTTCAATGAGCGCATAGGAAAACACGTAAATTGATACACCAACTGAAACTTGAGAGCCAGTAGCTCTTGAACCTTGGGAATTGAATTTGGCAATTTTGACAGAGCCATCAGTTCAGTTCAGTTATGGAATTCCTTCCTATGTATAAGGAGCACCCGAGAAGGTGGTTTCATAAAAGACATAAAATTAAAAGGAATAGTGATGAAAAGACAGTTAGATTCTAGTGAAATCTATTCTATATAGTGCTGTAAAAATAAAATTAGAGGTGATACACAAATTAAAAATAAAAAAGGCTTTACACACTGTACAGTAACTTAGCTTCTATTATAAAAGTTATTCAACTCTAAAAATATTTACATACTCCTACTTATTAAAAAAAATTTAATTTCAGGGTCTGTTGGTTGTAGACTGTTTACATTTTTTAATAGTTTGAGCTCTATGGCAATGTATAGCCAATACCATGTTGCGGCTCAGGCTCTCTATAAATCCCTGTATTTTGTTCTTCCTGGAGGCAATCTCTGAAAACGTGAAGTAGGAGGGGTCAATAATGACTTGTAGTAGTAATATACTATCCTCCATTATGTATGAATATGATTCCTGTGTACCAATTTTTTCTTGCAGGAAGAATCCTAGTTTGGTCAGATATGACTGCCTGACAGAATCTAAGATGGGGCATTTTAATAAAAAGTGTAATCTATCCTCTGTGCTCTCTATACACATCAGGCACTCATTATTTACTTCGTGTTGGTTGAATTTACTAGTATTGTCTTGTAAACGGTTGGTGTTTGTTGCGATTTGGACTTTGACAATGGCCT